GCAGTCTCCGAGGGGGATACCGACGGAAATGACTCAACCAGAGAGCCTACCTGCCCAGTGGACAACGATTTAGAACTACAGAAGATCAACGATACAACCACATTGAATCCAGTCGAACTAGCCGGTCTCACAGACATCGACCCAAGACTACCCAAGTTCAGGGACCAGGAGGTCGCCTTATGCAGTACAATGCAGACAAATGAGAAGCCCTCACAGACAACTCATAGCTGCTCGAAATATTCCAGATGGAACCTATCAAGAAGTTGAAGAATGCCAGTCAACAGCTAGAGATACCAGTTCAGGGTACTTCCATTCGGCATCCATCACCTCATGATATCTAGCGCACTCGACCAGCCCATCAAATCATTACGCTGGTGGATGTCTTGCCTAGGCCTGCTCACCTCCATCCAAGATCTGACCTACAGAGGCCGACTGCACCAGGGGAGCACAGAGGCCGACTGCACCAGGGGAGCACAAAGGAGCATTAAAGCGTTCCCTCGTCACGCCCAAGAACCGGGTTCGTCCCCCGGCATGGGTACAATGTGTGAAGCCCTTTTTCTGGTGTCCCCCACAATGATATTGTTGGAATATTACTAAAAGATGTGTAAAATCAAACTCACTCACTCATCAACAAACTACCAGTCTACGTCAGCCCTGCATGTACCAGACACACTAGCTCTCCAGGTCGACACTCTTTCTATTGACTGGGAGAGAATGTTCGCTTACTCATTTCCCCCATAGATTCTTCTAGACAGAGTACTGAAGAAAATAGAAGAGACAGACTCCGTCATAATTCTCATAGCCCCGGCATGGCCAAACAGGGCTTGGTTTCCAAGGTTACTACCCCTCCTAATGGAAGAACCTCTGAAACTCCCGGTACGTCACGATTTACTGAGACAACCGAAAACGGACATATTTTACGGCCGCCTCGACAATCTCCACCTTCACGCCTTGAAGTTATCTCGAATAAGCCGGTTACTCTTAATCAGCTGCACGAAGAGTGGCAAGCTCATGGAGACCAGCATCGTCTGCCCTATACAAAAACAGATGGGACAAGTTTGTCGAGCGGAGAATGAGAAATCATCTAAACGTGGAGATAACGATACCTTTAGTGGCTGAATTCTTGCTCTATCTCAGAAACGACAAGAAATTACGATATGGCACTATAGAAGGCTATAGATCCGCCCTGGCATCAGTATTACAACACAATGGCCTATCTATAGGTACCCACCCAGTACTGAATCAACTCATGAAGTCCTTTGCACTAGAAGACATTAAAATACCACATATATTTCCAAAATGGGATCTATCTATAGTATTGTCAGCATTGATGAAACCACCTTATGAACCTATGAGTAGTGCAACATTACTATTAGTTTCCAGGAAGACCGCATTTCTCCTAGCCATGGCTACGGCGGCTCGTGTATCAGAATTGCACGCTATTGACATTTCCACTGTAACTCATACCCAAGAATGGAAATCAGTATCGTTCAGATCACTTCCAGAATTTATTGCCAAAAACCAGTCGTCAACCTTCGGCCCACTCGGACACAGGCAATACACAATACCAGTGTGGGCTATCCGGAAAAGTGTGGACTATCCGAACAGATTACTTTGTCCCATAAGAGCCTTGAGATACTTCATAATTGCAACTCAACCCCACCGAAAGCAGAGAAGACGCCTTTTTATCTATTGCAAACCCTCGTCAGAAAAGGACATAACCAAGGGTACTGTAGCGGGTCGGCTCAGGTCGGTTATCGCAGATAGCTATAAACTGGCACAAGTCTCCACACCAACTTGGGGAAGCTGCAGACCTCACTAGATCAGAGCCCTTGCAACAAGTCTAGCCACATGGAATACAGTCTCCATTGAACAAGTCGTAGCTAGCTGCCAGTGGAAGACCCATAACACGTTCTCAAACTTTTACTTACGAGACATACAGACCGATCTGGATGGACTATACACACTGGGAACCTTGGTGGCAGCCCAGGTGATAGTCTCCAAGTAACCTTGTTCCCCCCTCTTCTTGAGAAAGGGGGAAAGAGGCGGGGTGGGGGTGTTTGAGGATTTCAGAATACCTCATGAACTCAGGGTAAGTTGACCTTTGTACTTAGTTTGCTATTGGATAGTACGAGGGCCATTCAATATATAACCAGCCTAAGCTATTTATCAGATCTTAACGGTTGCATGCTTGTCACGTGCTGTGCACCAATGTATGTCACGTGCATAGACAAAGTTTCACTGAGGAAATTGTATTTGAAGTTACACACGTGATCTATAAAGATGGCAAGGGTAGATTCTGCCAAATTTTCGTGAAAGGTTCAATACAGGGCTGGTAATAGGTACCTCTACTTAAAAGGTAAACCGGGAAAGGAGATACATGATGAATTGTCAGATGTTTATGGTGACAGTGCACCTTCGTATGCACAGGTCAAATTCTGGGTTGCAGAATTTAAGAGGGGTCAGGTGAACCTGGAAGATGAGCCACGCCCTGGCAGGCCTGTAGAGGTGACCAATGACCAAACCAGTGAAGCTGTGAGACAACTGGTTGTCAAAGACAGGCGAATGAAGGTGTCAGAAATGGCCAAGGCCTTGGACATTTCAGAGGGAACTGTCCATACCATTTTGCATGATCCGTGTATGAGGAAGCTGTCTGCCCGATGGGTCCCGAAATGTCTGAGTGATGATCAGAAGGCTGTATGTGCGTCAATGTGTCAGGCACTTTTGACGCAATGCAGTTGGGATGCAGACAACTTTATGGAGAGAATTGTTACTGGTGATGAAACCTGGGTACACCACTATGACCCAGAAACCAAAGAACAGAGTAAGCAGTGGACTGGCTTTGCTTCACCCCATTCCAAAAAGTTTAAGACTCAACCATCGGCTGGCAAAGTCATTGCAACCATCTTTTGGGATACCAAAGGGGTCTTGCTCATTGACTACTTGCCACGTGGCCAGACTATTACTGGAGAGTACTACTCCGATCTCCTGGACCGTTTGCGGACTGCTATTCTTGCCAAACGTCGTGGAACGATCACAAAAGGTGTGCTGCTCCAACATAATAATGCCAGAGTGCATACCTGTCGACTTGCGGTTGTTGAAGTGAAGTAGAATGGGTTCAAAGTATTGCCTCATCCACCTTACTCACCAGACCTGGCACCAAGCGACTACTTTCTCTTCCCAAACTTGAAGAAAGAACTGCGTGGACGTCATTTCCGGTCCGATGATGAACTCACGACAGCAGTGGAGGGGTGGTTACACAAGCAACCCCATGCTTTCTATCACAACGGGCTTTTAGCTCTCACACATCGCTGGACAAAGTGCATAGACCTCAATGGTGGTTATGTGGAAAAAGAAGAAGTGAGGAGCAGTAGCAAATAGGTTAGGCTGGTTATATATTGAATGGCCCTCGTAGACAAGTCAAGTGGCAACACTGAAATGAGAGATCGAAGAATTAAGTGATATACGCTTTCTACATGATAATCAAGGATGTATGATGTACTACCACCGGAAGTGACGTCATGGGAGACCTCACGCCGGACTAACGTCAAAATACTTTAAATATCACTATCCAAAAGGGCATAACGGAAAACCACGTCATAAAGTGATAAGAGATCATGGAAGACATATTCCACAAACGTGGGCATTGAATGACAACTGGAAGTGACGTCACAGATGACATCATCACCGGAAGTGACGTCATAATATGTCTAAGTATCACATTGGTGGCTATATACATGGATATTATACCCATAATATGACGCTTTTTTTTTCTCTATGTCTAGCCTTGTAAGTAGACTATAGACATATTCCATTTGGTCCCTTTTGGCATACAATCCTTGGGTTACCACTTCACAAAGCCAAATATCTAAGGGATGCTAGATACCAGATCCCACCGGTCCATCTGGTGTATGCTGGCTATGATGTAATAGACGTAGGGTATTCACAAGAATTATCTAACAATAGTTATCATTGTGTATAATTCTAAGAATACCACTTCTTTTACATCAGGAATTAATCCCTCCCACCTTCCCAAATATCTGCATCTAGTTGATGAGGATAATGGGTTGAAAGAAGTGAGGTGATTGCCACCTTGCGCATGCGCAGTGGCGCCCCTGGCGAGGGATAGGGTTTACCTCACAACTCTTAGATATGTTGGCAGTGAAGGGGATGTCTGTTGAATTTTTTTTTAAATTTGTAGTGTGGGTCTCAGCATAAACAGGAATTTATGGCTATGATGTAATAGAGGTAGTATTCTTAGAAGTATACACAATGATAACTATTGTTAGATTTCTAAGTTGTACATAAGCCCTCTATGCCAGACACGATTAAATGCTTTTGACACATCGCAAAAAAACATGCAATATTTTTCTCTATTATCTGAAGATATACAAATTTCATTATACAATTCAATTCATTGATGGACAGTGGAATGGCCTTTTTGAAAGCTTTTTATACATGTATAACAATTTCTTTAATAGGTTATGACTTATTCTGTCTGTATCAGATGCCTTATTTATTTCAAGACATTTAAAAACGTCAGATATTTCATTTTCTGAGACAGTTAATTTGTCAAAAATACTCTTAGTGCGTTGCTTGAAATATGGTAATTCATCCGTTCTTCAGTTAGGGTAGATATGGATTGGAAATATTCATTTAATCTGTCTGATTTTTCTAAATCTGAAAATATAGTGGAACAGTCATCCGTATCTTGTTTCCTTAACGGGATATTGCTCAAAGATGTTCCAGAGTTTTTGACAACATATCTTAAAAATTTCCGATATGATTGTTTATTTACTATACATGTATATAGTTCCGAAAGAAATTCATCGATGTTAGAATATAACTTTTCTGTCCCATAACTTTTCATGTTGTTGACTTTATTGCATTGTTTTTTTGTATGCTATAATATCTGTCCATCTAGTTGTCAACAGTAATGTGGATTAACTATCGTTCACTTGTGATCCTTTTCATTTTTTCTTCAATGCATTGTGTTGAAGGACATGAGGAGCAGCAGCTTGTTGGACAACTGCATGAGTATCACAGCAGCCAGTCAACTCCTCCACGCAGAGACCATCCCCATGTTCCTGCCTCTCGTGATGGAGAAGCTGAAACATCAGCGGTATGTACGTGACACTCACAGTTGACCTATGGGGCACAAATTTAAAGCAACATAGTGTCTGGTGTGCTGTGCTTGACCAGTAGTGTTTCACAGCTTCTGTCTACAGAGACCATACACATGTTTAAATCAATGAGACAGTATGACTAATACCATTAGCCTCTTTAGCTTCTTTCATTAGAGGAGTTGCCATGGTCACTGTGTTTCAGGGAGCTGGTGAGGGTGAAGGCAGCCCAGTGTCTGCATCAGTTCTATCTGAAGGCTCCCAACATGCTGGTCCATGTCCACGCAGACTTCCAGAGGGCGCTGTGTGACAAGGACCCGGGGGTCATCCGGGGGGTGGTCCACATCTACATCCAGCTGGCTCAGGTTAGTGAGGACAACTCTCCCACTGGCCCAGGTTAGTGAGGTCAACTCTCCCACTGGCCCAGGTTAGTGAGGTCACCTCTCACACTGGCCCAGGTTAGTGAGGACAACTCTCCCACTGGCCCAGGTTATTGAGGTCAACTCTCCCACTGGCCCATGTTAGTGAGGTCAACTCTCCCACTGGCCCAGGTTAGTGAGGTCAACTCTCCCACTGGCCCAGGTTAGTGAGGACAACTCTCCCACTGGCCCAGGTTAGTGAGGGCAACTCTCCCACTGGCCCAGGTTAGTGAGGGCAACTCTCCCACTGGCCCTGGTTAGTGAGGGCAACTCTCCCACTGGCACAGGTTAGTGAGGGCAACTCTCCCACTGGCCCAGGTTAGTGAGGACAACTCTCCTTAATGACCCAGGTTAGTGAGGTCAACTCTCCCACTGGCCCTGGTTAGTGAGGACAACTCTCCTTAATGACCCAGGTTAGTGAGGTCAACTCTCCTTAATGACCCAGGTTAGTGAGGTCAACTCTCCCACTGACCCAGGTTAGTGAGGGCAACTCTCCCACTGGCCCAGGTTAGTGAGGGCAACTCTCCCACTGGCCCAGGCTAGTGAGGGCAACTCTCCCATTGAACCAGGTTAGTGAGGGCAACTCTCCTTAATGTCCCAGGTTAGTGAGGGCAACTCTCCCACTGGCCAAGGGTAGTGAGGGAAACTCTCCCACTGGCCCAGGCTAGTGAGGGCAACTCTCCCACTGGCCCAGGCTAGTGAGGACAACTCTCCCACTGGCCCAGGTTAGTGAGGGCAACTCTCCCACTGGCCCAGGTTAGTGAGGGCAACTCTCCCACTGGCCCTGGTTAGTGAGGGCAACTCTCCCACTGGCCCAGGCTAGTGAGGACAACTCTCCCATTGACCAAGGTCAGTGAGGGCAACTCTCCCACTGACTCAGGTTAGTGAGGGCAACTCTCCCACTTGCCCAGGTTAGTGAGGGCAACTCTCCCACTGGCCCAGGTTAGTGAGGACAACTCTCCCACTGGCCCAGGATAATGAGAACAACTATCCTTAACGACCCTGGTTAGTGAGGGCAACTCTCCCACTGGCCCTGGCTAGTGAGGACAACTCTCACACTGGCCCAGGTTAGTGAGGACAACTCTCCTTAATGTCCCAGGTTAGTGAGGGCAACTCTCCCACTGGCCCAGGCTAGTGAGGACAACTCTCCTTAATGTCCCAGGTTAGTGAGGACAACTCTCCTTAATGACACAGGCTAGTGAGGGCAACTCTCCCACTGGCCCAGGCTAGTGAGGACAACTCTCCCATTGACCCAGGTTAGTGAGGGCAACTCTCCCACTGACTCAGGTTAGTGAGGGCAACTCTCCCTCTGACTCAGGTTAGTGAGGGCAACTCTCCCACTGGCCCAGGCTAGTGAGGACAACTCTCCCATTGACCCAGGTTCGTGAGGGCAACTCTCCCACTTGCCCAGGCTAGTGAGGACAACTCTCCTTAATGTCCCAGGTTAGTGAGGGCAACTCTCCCATTGAACCAGGTTAGTGAGGGCAACTCTCCCACTGGCCAAGGGTAGTGAGGGAAACTCTCCCACTGGCCCAGGCTAGTGAGGGCAACTCTCCCACTGGCACAGGCTAGTGAGGACAACTCTCCCACTGGCCCAGGTTAGTGAGGACAACTCTCCCACTGGCCCAGGTTAGTGAGGGCAACTCTCCCACTGGCCCTGGTTAGTGAGGGCAACTCTCCCACTGGCCCAGGCTAGTGAGGACAACTCTCCCATTCACCCAGGTCAGTGAGGGCAACTCTCCCACTGACTCAGGTTAGTGAGGGCAACTCTCCCACTTGCCCAGGTTAGTGAGGGCAACTCTCCCACTGGCCCAGGTTAGTGAGGGCAACTCTCCCACTGGCCAAGGTTCGTGAGGGCAACTCTCCCACTGGCCCAGGTTAATGAGGACAACTCTCCTTAACGACCCTGGTTAGTGAGGGCAACTCTCCCACTGGCCCTGGCTAGTGAGGACAACTCTCCCACTGGCCCAGGTTAGTGAGGACAACTCTCCTTAATGTCCCAGGTTAGTGAGGGCAACTCTCCCACTGGCCCAGGCTAGTGAGGACAACTCTCCTTAATGTCCCAGGTTAGTGAGGACAACTCTCCTTAATGACACAGGCTAGTGAGGGCAACTCTCCCACTGGCCCAGGCTAGTGAGGACAACTCTCCCATTGACCCAGGTTAGTGAGGGCAACTCTCCCACTGACTCAGGTTAGTGAGGGCAACTCTCCCACTGACTCAGGTTAGTGAGGGCAACTCTCCCACTGGCCCAGGCTAGTGAGGACAACTCTCCCATTGACCCAGGTTAGTGAGGGCAACTCTCCCACTTGCCCAGGCTAGTGAGGACAACTCTCCCACTGGCACAGGTTAGTGAGGGCAACTCTCCCACTGGCCCAGGTTAGTGAGGACAACTCTCCTTAATGACCCAGGTTAGTGAGGTCAACTCTCCTTAATGACCAAGGTTAATGAGGTCAACTCTCCCACTGACCCAGGTTAGTGAGGGCAACTCTCCCACTGGCCCTGGTTAGTGAGGGCAACTCTCCCACTGGCCCAGGCTAGTGAGGGCAACTCTCCCATTGACCCAGGTTAGTGAGGGCAACTCTCCCACTGGCCCAGGCTAGTGAGGGCAACTCTCCTTAATGTCCCAGGTTAGTGAGGGCAACTCTCCCACTGGCCAAGGGTAGTGAGGGAAACTCTCCCACTGGCCCAGGTTAGTGAGGACAACTCTCCCATTGACCCAGGTTAGTGAGGGCAACTCTCCTTAATGTCCCAGGTTAGTGAGGGCAACTCTCCCACTGGCCCAGGGTAGTGAGGGAAACTCTCCCACTGGCCCAGGCTAGTGAGGGCAACTCTCCCACTGGCCCAGGTTAGTGAGGACAACTCTCCCACTGGCCCTGGTTAGTGAGGGCAACTCTCCCACTGGCACAGGCTAGTGAGGACAACTCTCCCATTGACCCAGGTCAGTGAGGGCAACTCTCCTACTGACTCAGGTTAGTGAGGGCAACTCTCCCACTGGCCCAGGTTAGTGAGGGCAACTCTCCCACTGGCCCAGGTAAGTGAGGGCAACTCTCCCACTGGCCAAGGTTAGTGAGGGCAACTCTCCCACTGGCCCAGGTTAATGAGGACAACTCTCCTTAACGACCCAGGTTAGTGAGGGCAACTCTCCCACTGGCACAGGCTAGTGAGGACAACTCTCCCACTGGCCCAGGTTAGTGAGGACAACTCTCCCACTGGCCCAGGTTAGTGAGGGCAACTCTCCCACTGGCCCTGGTTAGTGAGGGCAACTCTCCCACTGGCCCAGGCTAGTGAGGACAACTCTCCCATTCACCCAGGTCAGTGAGGGCAACTCTCCCACTGACTCAGGTTAGTGAGGGCAACTCTCCCACTTGCCCAGGTTAGTGAGGGCAACTCTCCCACTGGCCCAGGTTAGTGAGGGCAACTCTCCCACTGGCCAAGGTTAGTGAGGGCAACTCTCCCACTGGCCCAGGTTAATGAGGACAACTCTCCTTAACGACCCTGGTTAGTGAGGGCAACTCTCCCACTGGCCCTGGCTAGTGAGGACAACTCTCCCACTGGCCCAGGTTAGTGAGGACAACTCTCCTTAATGTCCCAGGTTAGTGAGGGCAACTCTCCCACTGGCCCAGGCTAGTGAGGACAACTCTCCTTAATGTCCCAGGTTAGTGAGGACAACTCTCCTTAATGACACAGGCTAGTGAGGGCAACTCTCCCACTGGCCCAGGCTAGTGAGGACAACTCTCCCATTGACCCAGGTTAGTGAGGGCAACTCTCCCACTGACTCAGGTTAGTGAGGGCAACTCTCCCACTGACTCAGGTTAGTGAGGGCAACTCTCCCACTGGCCCAGGCTAGTGAGGACAACTCTCCCATTGACCCAGGTTAGTGAGGGCAACTCTCCCACTTGCCCAGGCTAGTGAGGACAACTCTCCCACTGGCACAGGTTAGTGAGGGCAACTCTCCCACTGGCCCAGGTTAGTGAGGACAACTCTCCTTAATGACCCAGGTTAGTGAGGTCAACTCTCCTTAATGACCAAGGTTAATGAGGTCAACTCTCCCACTGACCCAGGTTAGTGAGGGCAACTCTCCCACTGGCCCTGGTTAGTGAGGGCAACTCTCCCACTGGCCCAGGCTAGTGAGGGCAACTCTCCCATTGACCCAGGTTAGTGAGGGCAACTCTCCCACTGGCCCAGGCTAGTGAGGGCAACTCTCCTTAATGTCCCAGGTTAGTGAGGGCAACTCTCCCACTGGCCAAGGGTAGTGAGGGAAACTCTCCCACTGGCCCAGGTTAGTGAGGACAACTCTCCCATTGACCCAGGTTAGTGAGGGCAACTCTCCCATTGACCCAGGTTAGTGAGGGCAACTCTCCTTAATGTCCCAGGTTAGTGAGGGCAACTCTCCCACTGGCCCAGGGTAGTGAGGGAAACTCTCCCACTGGCCCAGGCTAGTGAGGGCAACTCTCCCACTGGCCCAGGTTAGTGAGGACAACTCTCCCACTGGCCCTGGTTAGTGAGGGCAACTCTCCCACTGGCACAGGCTAGTGAGGACAACTCTCCCATTGACCCAGGTCAGTGAGGGCAACTCTCCAACTGACTCAGGTTAGTGAGGGCAACTCTCCCACTGGCCCAGGTTAGTGAGGGCAACTCTCCCACTGGCCCAGGTTAGTGAGGGCAACTCTCCCACTGGCCAAGGTTAGTGAGGGCAACTCTCCCACTGGCCCAGGTTAATGAGGACAACTCTCCTTAACGACCCAGGTTAGTGAGGGCAACTCTCCCACTGGCACTGGCTAGTGAGGACAACTCTCCCACTGGCCCAGGTTAGTGAGGGCAACTCTCCCACTGGCCCAGGTTAGTGAGGGCAACTCTCCCACTGGCTCAGGCTAGTGAGGACAACTCTCCCACTGGCCCAGGTTAGTGAGGGCAACTCTCCCACTGGCCCAGGTAAGTGAGGGCA